ACACACACACACACACACACACAAATATTAAAAGGCCCCGAAAAAAAAAAAAAACATATATTTTTTTTCCATTCCTTGATTGTTTCCTTAGTAGTTACAAGAATGACAGTGCTAAATCGCACTATAACACACTGCAAGGTCAAGACATAGTCAAGACAGACGACATGGCAGACATAGACAAAAAGACAAACAACTCCGAGCACAGGTGGCGCTTTGAAAAATTCCTCGGAAATAGCGCACTCACCTGGCGAAAGGACCCGACCGGTTTCTACCAGTCGCAAGTCTGGCGTCATCAGGGGTCTAACCTGGCAGGAATGAGAAATACAACTAGACGAATTGAATATATACTAACATACTGCTAGTCTACCCTTGGTACCAGTGAACCGACACAATACCTGGACCCACCCTTTTGGTAGTCCCAAATCGAAAAAGTCCCGACCCCGAAACCCGCAGACCTATCTGGTCCTTCACGGGAAGTACTACCTGCCAGCACCAACCGTACCTGCCTCCGCAGTGTCCGTAATATATTCAGTAGCCCGGCATCTCACCTCATACCTTCTGGACCACCTAGTAAGGCAGTGTACCCATCTTTGCCACTTATTGTTAAATCTTACAGACAATATACTTAATACCCGATCAAAAAATTCGTCTGGAAAACCTCTCATCCCCAACTCAATTTTCAGCGTAAACAGAAAACACAGATCGGCGACAGACATGCAATTCAAATCCTTCAACCTATGTAAGAAGGTTCCTAAAACCGTAATTTTTTGCTGCTTGGGCGAATACGACAAGTAATTCTGCAAGTTCTGAAAAACAATACCCTGCTCCAAAATGGTACCCTCATTCTTGTGCGTTGCAGCACACATGATCCTCGCTGGGTTCTGAAAAACCTTCAAGATACAGCCTAAATAGTCCCATTCACAACCATCACTAGTTCTCTTCAACACCAATTCTTTGTCATATGACGTACTAAATTTCTGAATCCTTTCCTCGGCAACCCGTCTGGACCTTTCGTCACTCAGATTGCAGCTCGTGAAAACCGAAACATCGTCAACTAGCCTAACCCCATGGAAGAATTTTCTGGAAGAACCTAAACTAATAAGAAATTCATACTCATTGAAAGCACATAAAAGACATGCGAGAGCGGGGCTGGAAGGTTTGCCCATAGGGATACTAATCTTTTATCTCAGAATAACTCGCTAAGCAGAAACATACGTACAGGATAAATCAAAACCGACGAAACTCAACAGCTTATTAAACTTCAGTCGTCCCCAGCCTTCGGGAACGGTCCTCCTTCTGGAGAGGACAACACATTTCCCATTCTTTTTGTACATGGCCTCAGAGAACCCTTTTTCTTCGTACTTCGCTACTGCCCATTCTATTGCCTTAACGATAGATGAGTGAGGGAGAGCGGAGAACATCTCTTTAACATCATAGCTAGCCGCAATAACCTCTCCTTCTTTACGGATGACCTCATTAATCTCCTCAATCCTAGTCCTAAGATCTTTAGTAGCTCTAAGATTAAAGTGAGAAGAAGATGGAAGGGACCAGAGAAGACAGTTGACTGCCTTAGAGACAATTCGACAAGCTCTAGTAGTAGGATCAGAATGGGAAGGACATATAGGGCGTCAACGACGAATATCTTTATGTTTTGGGATACAGTAGACCTTACCTAAAACACCTTTACCATTGAATCTCGTTATAGTTTTAAAGTTCTCCTTCTCATACAACTGCGATATCCTTTCAATAAATGCATCTTTCGTCTCCTTTTTCCCCTCAAAACCACTATTGTTCAGAAAAAGTTTCTGCATTCCCAGCTCATAAAAAGATGGACAACAAACCAATGTATCACCAATATTATGATCGATAAGACAAATCACATATTTCTCAAATTTTCTCTTCCACTGCAAAACTAGCCTGCGGTCAAACCCTGCTCTCACTTCTCCAGTTCTTTCGTTGATACAGTTCCTAAGTCCAGTTTCATAGATAGAAAAAAACCTAGTATCAGATTGTACTTCTTCTAAACAACTCAGAATAGCCTTCTTGACCTTATGTAGATCTGACTTAAGACCTGGTGATGGAATATTTTTGGAATTACGCAAGAAAGAAGGGATGCCTTCAAATTTACTTAACCGGAATGCAACATGCTCTCCCACCCTAGGGAAGTCTGAATCCACGCATACACACGAAAGCTGAGATAGCCTAGAGAAAGGTCTAAAGTTAAACAAAATATCACCCACTGACTTATTTTTTGTCCAGACCACCTTGACCTTCTGACAAATAATATCCTGAATAGGTTTCCTGACAGACAACTTTCTTACTGTCTCCACAAACAAACTTTTGACCTTGCTCTTTGAGATCTCACAATCATAGACAATCCTAATAATCGGTCTAATCCTAATTTTAATATTGAACTTACTCTTGATTACCCTCCCAATGATACAGCGAAGCGAAGTTCTCGTTTGCTTCCACAAAAAACTCCTAATACATGAATACAACCTCACTAGCCGATCCAGTAATAAAAGATACAAATTTTTCCTCGTCTTTGGCTTAGATAACAGCTTGGCGAGCAAGGCTCTACAAACCTTGAGCAAAAACGAGACAATCTCTCCACACGAAATTTATTCAACTCAACAAGCTATTCACGACAATTCTTCAGCAGCTTATGGCCTAAAGTTGACCTGATAACTGAAGATCCATACAGTCTCTTAACCACTTTCCAATTGTCACAGAATTCACGACCCCCTTGGCACGAAATATTGAAGCTCGACTCCCTTAATCTAAATGCATGATCCAGAATTGAAATGAGACTAACAGAGGAAATTTCTAATGAAGTGCAGAAAGAAATAGGAGATTTCTTGGAAATAGAATATGAAACGGTAGTGAAGCAACCATTGTGACACCTCAGCTTCCGACATTCTTTTTTTTCGGGTCGGCAAACCCGGTGATTCTTATGATGTAGAACTTTGGAATTGAGAAAAGGCGAGAACCTCCGAATGAAAAAAGATTCCAAGGCAAGAAGATCAGGGGTAGTGGAAACAGCAAGCGGAATAACAACATATTCAGACGTACCGTGCGTTCTCAGCCATCGATACAACTTGTGGTTCCTAACTTTCGTTGAACATCCTTTTTTGGTTCTCTGAAGATGCTCCTTCCACCTAACATCTAAACTTCTAGACGTGCACCCGATGTAAACATGTCTACACCATGGAGAAACTAATGCATAAATAACTGGACCAGGACAGTGAGCGATATCATATCCACCAAAAAGAAGAGAAGAGATAAACGGAGCAAACTTAACAAGCCAAGGAATCTGACAGCAAATAATCAAGAGCAAGACAACTAATCTAAAGAAGATTCCATGCTTACCTTCTTGCCAAAACGAACCCTCTTTCCTCAGATCTCTACAAGTCAAAGCCAATTCCCCACAATACTGATTGTTACGAAAAATACCAGCACTCGGAGAGCGTTCCTAGCAATCGGAGATTTCATCGACACGATCACCAGGCTCCCCCTCCGCAATATCAACGGACTGATTGTCGTCCTCACCATCCTCCTTCTCTTCTTCAATGACTACTCTTCGTCTCAATCGCGGAAAAGTCGCCGAACCATATCTTTCCGCCAAATCGGCCGCAGATCCTCGTATAGTGTTATACGAAATACCCTCTTCAAGACACAACTTATCAATCTCATTTTTCCGTAGCTTGCTTAGCTCAAGGAAAAACCTCTTTGTGAACGTCGGCCTGGTCTTGTCTGCACGCTTTTCGAATCGTACAGTTGGCCGACTGCTTTCCGCTTCTGCATCTTCTCCTTCCGGTTCGTCGACAGACTGAGCCATCTTCTTTCGGAGATTAGTAGGTTGCACATTTCTTAGTGCAAATCTCCTCCTGATAACCAGTGGTGACGTCCGAATCTTTAGCCTGTTGATCTGTTCCTTCAAGGCCGCAACTTCCCTCTCGGCATAATCCTTGTCATCACGTAACTTACTGTAGGCATCCGCCATCTTGGCGATGTCTCCTGGAGTAAGATCACGATTTGCAACCCTTAGTTTGACCCGCGCCGGTTCCACCGGCGGACTCTTCTCCGTAACGACTTCGACACTTCTCTTCTCCCCTCCTCTTCTCAGAGCGTTGACTTCCTCTCTTAGCTCAATAATCCCTTTTGAGAGCGCGATATTCTCTTGTTTCAACGAATCGATTTCCTTGTCAACCAAGCTGATCCGCATGGCAATCTTCATCTCCTCATTTTCTCTCCTTAATCATTAAGTTTCTGACTCCTGACTGCCCTCCTGAACTGGCTTCTTGCCAGCAGCTATCGCTTGCCTCCGAAGCTCAGTACTAACCTCGGCGCAGACGTTCTCCGTAGGTGCAACCTTCTTGCCCAGGATTGATTCGCAAACTTCAGTCATTGATCCTTTAATCAATTTTCTCAAATTTGTTTGAAACTTCATCTTCTCCTGTTGCTCCTTCTGCCTCTTCTCATCTTGCTCCTGTTGCCTCTTTCTCTCCTCCTCCTCCTTCTGCTTCCTATCTCTCTCCTTTGCCAAACGCTCCTTCTCCTCCATCTCTTTGTTCACGAAGCCCCACATCTTCTCGAAACGATCATCCCTCCCTCGGTAACTTCCTTGCTCACGATAGCCTCCTTGCTCTCGATAACTTCCTTGCCACGGTCTTCTCTGCGGCTGCTGGTAAGTGCTCTGGTTGTTCGGAGCCGCCGCAATCGGAGCCGTTGCATTTGGTGTCATCAAAATCGGAGCGCCATTCGTGGAAGATGACGGGGCGCCATTGCCTCCGTAATTGTCGTTGTTACCTCCTTGGCCATTAGCCTCATTGTTGATGCGAAGCTGACAATCTCGAATCCAGTGTCCGTGCTGGTGACAATAATGACACGGACCTCTCAGTTGATAAGAATACATAATTGACGTAGGAGATTAGCAATAGGACGAGTCAGAGAATAATGAATAACGAATAACGAACTAGTGAATAGTGAATAGTGAATAGTGAATAGGTGGTTGAGCACAGCCACGCGATCGTAGTACTATTGCTACGCCGGTTATTGTGTGCATGCAAGTAGTTACAAGAATGACAGTGCTAAATCGCACTATAACACACCGCAAGGTCAAGACATAGTCAAGACAGACGACATGGCAGACATAGACGAAAGTACAAACAACTCCGAGCGCAGGTGGCGCTTTGAAAAATTCTTCAGAAATAGCGCACTCATCTGGCGAAAGGACCCGACCGGTTTCTACCAGTCGACAGTCTGGTGTCATCAGGGGTCTAACCTGGCTGGAATGAGAAACACAACTAGACGAATTGAATGTATACTAACATACCGCTAGTCTACCCTTGGTACCAGTGAACCGACACAATACCTGGACCCACCCTTTTGGTAGTCCCAAATCGAAAAAGTCCCGACTCCGAAACCTGCAGACCTATCTGGTCCTTCACGGGAAGGACTACCTGCCAGCACCAACCGTTTCTGTTTCCTAAGGACACCAACACAAAAAAAAAAAAAAAACGTAAAAATGAAGAATACAAAGAATTGCCATCCAAAAATCCCCCCCCCCAAAAAAACTTCTTTTTTAATTTATTTTTCAATTTCTCTTCTCCATCTTTTCTGTTTTTTATTTTTTTTTAATTCTAAAAACTTATCTGTTTCCAAAAAGAAAAAAAGGGGGTTGTAGGGATTAAAAATCCCTACAACCCCATATATATATATATATATATATATATATACGATATATATATATATATATAAAACAGTTTGTCACAGCCCCTCGTTTGTTGTCCTCTTCTCTCTCTCTGCCTACGGTTTACCGGGCAGTTCTGTTTGTGACGATATATATATATATATATATATATATATTTACCCATTATTTAATTCAGGAAAAATGCGGCAAATTCACGTCCGCGGCCGTATATACGGCCGCCCTCCGAGGTCGACCCCGCGGATCGCGGATGTTTCGTAGCACCACGGAAAAGTGAGCTGGAACTGACGCGTACGGCCTAAAAACGGCCAACATATTTTCCCGAAAATAGGAAAGCGAAAGTGACCCATTCTCGTTATTTTAATCACCAAAAGTTGTCACACACCGTTTGAAACCGCGCTAGTGGGTCCTAGGCTCCTAGCCCCTGGTCTGAAAGTTGCCCCAAGTACAGCTATAATGACCGGCCGTTCTATTCGGGTGAAGACGGTAGGCTACTAGCTTCCACTGTTGCCGCCAGCCTGCACATAGGGGGGCAAGGTCCCACTAGGAAAGAGCATTGGATAAAGCTCCTGAATCTGGACGTGTTTCATGCAAAGATGCGGAAAAGCAGATCAGTAGCGATCCTCTTCACCATTCCAAAAACACATCCACATTCATGCATTCAACCCAATCCTCTTCGCCAAGGGGACCTCGCCCCCAGGGAGTCAGGAACATCCTTGGAAGGAGGGGCCCCACTCATAATTACACTGCAAATGTGCTCCTACGCGCATTCATTATTTGCCGTATCTGGACTGAAAGTTGCACCAAATACAGTTATAATGACCAGGTATTCTATTCAGGTGAAGACTGTAGTGCTACTATCAGTGCAGATACTTTAGTAACTTTACAAGCAACTATTGTCTTTCCTGCATGCATCTGACCACAAATATGCCCCCCATTCATCGACAAAAGTCCTGCAATTGCCTCCTCTGTCCAGCAAGTTTGGCTGTTGTCATCACCTGTTACCAGTTTCAAGTTCTGAGAAACATCATCCCCCTTTGGAGCTAACTGGCCACCTCTCTTTTTTTTTTTTTTCTCTTTTTTTAAGGGTTTTTTTTTTTTTTTTTTTTTTTTTTTTTTTTTTTT